TTATCAGGTAAGCCTAGGAAATGACAAAAGTAGTTTTTTGTTTTTTTTTTTCAAGTTGCTTTAGACCTAAGATAGAGCATCTGAAGATAGCAATCTAATCATTATGTGTTAATATAAGACTCTAAGCTATCCTTACATTGTAAAAAATCGTATCTACTATTAAGAAAAATGATCTAAAACTTTTGGTGTCATCCTGGGACATTGTCCAACAAGCCCATCCCAGGATTATTTAATTCACTTAAGAATGTACTTTTGCTTTAATTACTGTTTACTCTTGATTAGGGCTCAGACGCTGTGAAGTTACATGTTAACTTAGAGACATTTGTTCAGTAGAGAACAAATAGTTTTCTGAATGGTGAAGAAGATAAGCCCTCGATGCTTACAGTTTCATTGTCCTTTATGTCATTAACCAGTTTGGTGTCTAACTCAGAAAACTTATTTTGGCATACCTTTCTTGGTTGACCATATAAACCTCTGTTCCTTAAATTCTCTGAACCAGCTCTGTCATCCTCCTGGTCCCTCATTAATGGATTACAGAGTTCGATACAGGCTTTACATCTATAAAAGTTTCATTGGTTTTCACTGTTTGAGAATTACCTGTTTTGTTTCTTTTTTTCCTTAGTGACCCAAAGTTAAGCAAGTTGTTTTTATGTATAAATGACATCTGGCCCTGAATTTTGCTCTTTTCTGATTGCAAGTGTCAATCATATGAATTAAATAGTCTGTCTCTCACCTGTGAAGTTAGTTTATCAGACTGACCCCAGCAGGACATTCAATTTAGCTAGAAAATAACTGTTGTGTTCATCTACATGTGCCAGGTATAGGGGATGCTGGGGTAAGGGATTCATTCCACTGCCTTCCTCTGGAGCCTCCGCAGCCTGGTGGGAGAGAGACAAGACATGCGCTGTGCTGAGTGCTATGTCAGAGGTTTGCACTGGGTGAATAGTCCAGGCTGATGTAACTTGACGTGGCTTTAAGTTCTATCTTCACTGGAAGGGAGAGCATAGGATCATCCACAGGCTTCATTTAGTCCTTCTTGTGACCAACAGCACATGAATAGGGTAGCCGCAGAAGAAAAGTACATCCATTTGTCTCTGAAGCCAGATGGACTCGGAGTGGAATCCAGACTCTTCCATTCGCTAGAATGTCCCCTTGCGATTTGGCGCAACTGTAAAAAGACTCTGTTTTCTCAACTGTCAAATGGGGATAATAGTACCCATATACAGGTCTTCCTTGACTTATGAGGGGGTTGTGTCCTGATAAATCCATCTAAAGCTGAAAATATTGTACATGGAAATTGCATTCTATACACCTAACCTACTGAAGATCATGGCTCAGCATAGCTTACCTTAAATGCACGCAGAACGCTTCCATTAGCCTATAGTTGGGCAAAATCATCTAATGCAAAGCCTATTTGATAATACAATGTTGACTGTGTCATGTAATTGATCGAACACTGTACTGAAAGTTAAAAACAGAATTGTTGTGTGGGTGCAGAGTGCTTGTCAGTGTATCCGTTGTTCACCCTCACGATTACAGGCTGACTGGCCGGTGTGGCTTGCCACCCCACATCACGGGACACCACTGTGTTGTGTATGGCTGGCCCAGGAAAGATCAAAATTCACAATGTGAAACATGGTTTCTGTTGAATATGTATTGCTTTTACACCATCATAAAGTTAAGAAAAATCATAACTTGAACCAGAGTAAGTTGGGGACCATCTGTAGAGGATTATTGGTGAAGATGAAATGGAACGGGCTCTATAGGGTTGACTCAGTGTGTTTGGAGGGCTCAAACCCCCCACATGCCAATGGAATGGCCCTTGGTGGGCTCCTGGGAGGTGACCTTTGAGCCCTTGGAATATCCTGCCTGCTAAGAGTGTCTGTTTATTTGGGGCCTTTGCCCATGCCAGAGAGTTTGTGCTAACAAATGGATTTGTGATGGAGGCTTTGGGTCACGCCATATCAGCCTGTGTTCTGGAGGGGATGAAGACCGAGGAACTGAGGTCAGCCATCCAGGCACGCCATGCCTATGTGACTGACCACCAATAAAAACCCTGGACACCAAGGCTCCGGTGACTTCCTTGGTTGACAGTACCCTGTACCTGTTGTCATACATTGTTGCTGGGATAAGGAAGCATTGTCTGTACAACCTCAGTGTGGGGAGCACCTGGAGGCTCACACCTGGTCTCTCCGGCACTCTGCTCTGCATGCCTCTACCTTTGCTGATTTTAATCTCTATCCTTTTGCTGCAGTAAACGATAACTGTGAGCAAAGCAGCTTACCCAAGTTCTAGGAGAACTTCTTGTGAATTATTGAAACTTAGGGTGATTGTAGGGACCCCCAATACAGGGATCAAGTATAAAAAGTACTTTGCTTAGTGTCTGACACAGAGTAAATTTGCTTTCATCTTTTTTTTTTGTTCAAAGATTTTATTATTTATTTGAGAGGGAGAGAGCGAGAGAGAGCACAAGAGCAGTGGGGAGGAAAAGCAGACTCCCCGCTGAGCAGGGAGCCCGATACGGGGCTCAATCCCAGGACCCTGGGATCATGACTTGAGCTGAAGGCAGGCGCTTAACGACTGAGCCACCCAGGCGCCCCAAATTTGCTTTCACTTACCTCACTTCTGATTCTTGGTTTGTCCATCCTCTCAGACCTGTTATGACCCTTTGGACCCACTGCCTGCTGTTTATTATGATTATTATTTCTCTGTTTGACTAAGGATGGTTCTCTGGAAACTTTGTTCCAGAGAGCAAAGTATCCAACCTCAGATGGTTGGCTGAAGACAGCTCTCCTGAAGGTCCCTGCATGTTCAGGTCTCATAAGCTATGGCCTGTGCTGATGTTTACCTTCTAGTGTGCATCCATGCCCCACCTCCCCACTAGATTATAATTCATGTGAGTTAAATGGTGCTTCTTCTTTCTTTGCCATGAACAGAACCTGGAGCGTTGCAATGACAGCATGGCCCCGTGAGAAGCGCCTGGGTCTTAGAGTCAGAAAGAGTTGGCTTGGGTGCAGCTCGGCTATCCACCTGCCATGGCGGCTTGGACAAGTCCCTCTGAGCTCCAGCTTGCACATGTGCACAACAAGACTCGTATTCCCTATTCCGCAGGGTTACTGGGAGTCTGATGACATCCTTGCCAGCTCAGACCTAAGACATGCAATGCCAGCCTTTGAGTTAGGTGGCCCACTCCCAAAGGGCGTTTGTGCTCTTTATGCAGATAAACCTTCTCTAACTGTCATAGAACATTAGGGGACACTGAGGATGGGATGATTTGCACGGGCTCTAGGAGTTCCTCAGGAAAGAACATGAACTCCCCCCACAACCAGGGCTCAGCAATAAACAGACACAGCGGATGGACTGCAGGGTAGGACGGGCAGTAAATGCCAAGCTGCAGGTAGGGGTTACTATTGCTGAGATTGGGTAGAATCATCTAACTATATGCCAAATTCTATTCTAAGCCATAAACATGTACAGACTCCTTTCATCTTCCTAATTTGTATCGAAGAGACCACGTTTGAATTTTGAAACCCGAGGCACAGAGAATTCAAACAACTTGGCTGAGGCTACCCAGCCGGTAAGTGGCCAAGCTGGGACCTAGCACTGGGCTATCTATAGCCATGCTTTTAACCATTGTGCCATATGGCTCTAATTGAGCTAACTCCCAGCCACGGTGCCAGTGCATTCAGGGCAGGAGTGGTAAAAATAGAACTCTTTATTACTGGAAACATAATAAACTTTCCTGGGGAAGAGCTTTCTCAGAGAATTGGGTGGTAAAACTTAAGCCACAACAGCACGAGCGGCCCTCTGCCCCTGTGGTGCTGGAAATGCAAGGAGGAAAGGGCTTCTCCCTCCCAATGGAGAGAGAGGTAGGTCCTGGAGATCAGCAGACAGGGAGCACGAGGTCTTCAGAGGGCAGCAGAGGGACACCGCCATCCTGACTTCTGACGTCTTCGGTTCATCTTGTGTGATTGCGATCTTTTGTTCTCCCCATGATTCTAAATTGCTTTATGGAGTTAAAAATTTTATAAACTGACGAACTATGTGTGAGAAGAGAGAGAGACGTTTCTTAGGAAGTTTCAGCTGCATGCTTTGGTCAAGACAAGAGATAGGCAGTTGGTAAAAAAAATTGCTGTCAAAGTATGTGTAGGTGGGGCAAACAAAAAAGATGGCGATAAAGAATAAAAATCTCAAGGGGTACTACACATGAAGATTGCTTGGCAAGTATCTTTAAACTTTTGTTTGGCTTTTAAGAAGCCCAAATTGGAAATCACAGATAATAAATACATTATGGTTATGGTTGAAGCAAAAAAAAAAAAAAAATCTTAGAACATCAAAGAGTGGATCACCATTTAAAAAATAACATAAGGCCTTAGCCCCACAACAAATTATTGGTGGATATATGTACATTTTTAAGCTTTAATGTAAAATGTTAATGTGTGTATCATTTCAAAATGATTCTTCACTTTCTTTTTTTTTTAAGTAGGCTCCACATCCAGCATGGAGTCCAACGTTGGGCTCAAACTTACGACCCAAGCTGAGATCAAGAGTTGGCCGCTCCACCAGCCACCTGGGCACCCCGAATGATTCCTCACTTAATGGGCTTTTTTCTCCCTCCAGCTTTATTGCGATATAATTGCTTATACCACTGTGTATGTTTAAGGTGTACGAAGTGATGATTTGATACACGTCTATATCATGAAATGATTACCACAGTAAGGTTACTTAACACGCCCTTCACCTCACATAAGCACCATTTTGTTGTTGTTGTTACAGTGAGAACACTTGCTATCTGCTCTCATGACAACGTTCAAGTATGTAATACAGTATCGTTGACCATAGTCACCATGCCAGACATCAGATCCCCAGAACTTATTCCTTTCATAACCGAAGATTGTATCCTTTGACCAACATCCACTCATTTCCCCCACCCTCCTGTCCCTGGCAACCACCATTCTACTCTGTTTCTTTGAGTTTGGCTTTTTTAGATTCCACATACAAGTGAGATCGTGCGGTGTTTGTCTTTCTCTGTCTGACTTATCTCACTTAGCGTCATGTCTCGAAGGTTCCTCCATGTGGTTGCAGGTGGCTGGGTTTCCTTCTTTTTTATGACTGAATACTATTCCATGGTCTATATATCCCACATTTTCTTTATCCATGCATCAGTCAGCGGACAGTTTGTTTGTTCCCATGTCTTGACTCTCGTGAATAAGGCTGCAAGAGACACAGGGTGCAGATATCTCTTCAAGATAATTCCATTTCCTTTGCATACATACTCAGAAGTGGGATTGCTGGATCATATTGATTTTGATCTTTATATACGTGGAATCATTCTTGCATTTTCTTTTGTGTCTTTCTTCTTTTGCACAGCTTTATGTCCGTGCAATTCATAGTGATGGCGGGTAGAATGTGGGTTTGTTCCCTCCTGTTGTGGCTTAGTATTCCACTGAGTAAATATACCACAACATTTCCATCCATTCTCTTGTTGATGGGCACTGGGGCGTAGTTTCCAGTTTGGGGCCCCTCCCCCTTTTGAGGACTCATAGAAAGACACAGGAAGGGGGAGGGTTGAGTACCATATACTGGTGGAACTAGGCGGAAGTTCTTATGGTAATTGCCTTAGGACTCACAACAGAGGATTCTCAGAAATATTTGGGGAAGAGGAAAGCGCAAACAGGGTCTTGGGGTACTGAGATGTAAGGGGTTGACTGTAAATGTGCTTCCTTTATAGTCGCCATCTGGAGAAGCCTGCTATCTGTGGCTTATGAGGACTGGAAGCCATGAAACACCTAACCCGGAGCCAAGAAGGCACCCAGTAAGTGCTGTGGATATTGTTACGTGCACACTGAATGGCCATCATTAGCTTTACAAATCAATATTTATGTGCGACAGAAGTGGGATATGGTAATGAGAAAGAGGAAGTTACGTGAAAAGTTATATGCCGGCCAAGTGGGTACTATTTTCATGGGCACTGGAGGCGCCAGAGGCCTATAGCAGATTGGGAGGGCTTTGGGCACAGAGGACAGCCCTTTATTTTAGCACAAAGAGGACTAGAGAGTTTTGTGACTTGTCTCTGGGAGGCTCTGAATGATTGTTTCAGCTTAGAAAGGCAGAGCCATGAGTCCCTGTCAAAGAAGTGAAAGCAGCACACCTCACCCCAAGATGCAGGGATGAGGGATAGGGGATTCACGGGTTCACAGAGTCAGTTTGTTGAAGGTTGGGCAGCAGATGGCCTCAGGATCATCTGGAGTCAAGGTCTGGGATGTTCCCGGACTCTCCTCTCATGTCTCAGTAAGTAGGGTTTTGTCATCTCAGAAGGTTTTCATCACCAAGCTGGAAGGAGGGCTTGGTGGGTGGCTCCTGGCAGCTCAGCCTCATGACCAGAGGGAGGCCATCTCTCTTCTTCAATCCCTGAAATTAGGGAAAGACTCTGATTGGTCTGGTTGGGCCTTACTCTTCCCTTGTGGCTTGGGGAGGGATGGCAGCTTCCTTTAGAACTGTATTTTTTTTTGGCATTGGGGGAGAAACAGTTTCCCCAAAGAAGGGGAGCAATATTTTCAGAAGAAAGGGGTACAAGGCAGAAAAAACACTAGGTATCCACTATTTCAGCTAAGATGCTTTGGTTGCAAGTAACAAGTCCTAGCCTGAACTAATTTAAACAGTAAAGGCAATTTGTTGGCTCACATTACTTAAAATGTTCAAGGTCGATCCTAGCTTCAGGAGCATTTTGATCAAGTTCAAGCGCCCTTTCTCTGTGATTTCCTGCTGTGTGTGTTGATTTCATTTTCAGGCTAGCTTCTAGGACAAGAAAGATTATTCATGTTGTCAGCTGAAGTCCTGATTTTCATTCTGACTGGACTGGGTTAGGTCGCAAACTTAGCCCTGACCCATTTTCTTGTGCTCAGATGATGGAGTACACTCACTGGCTTCTTCTGAGTCGTTTGGCCCACCTCTGGAACTATGGTAGAATTGGCTTCCCTAGCAGGGAAAATTGTGGATGCTCGGGTGGAGGAGCAACACGGATTCACTTTCTCACTAAAAAAATGAAGAGAGGTTAAAGACATCACCCCGAATCACACACCTAGGAGATGGTGGTAATAAGATTTGACCTAAGACTACCTGATCCTCAAGGTCATGAATTTGACTACAATTCCTCTCATATGAAGCTGTTCCAGTTAGCTATTGCTGCATGACACACTACACCAAGCACAATAGCTCAAAACAATGACAAATTATGATTTCTCATAATTTTGTGATCTGGGCTGAGCTCATCTGGGCAGTTACTCTGTTCCATGGGTTGTCTGCTCAGTCTGGATCATCCAAGGTGGCTTTTCATTCACATGCCCAATGCCTGCTCTGGGATGGCTGGAGGAGCGGGGTGCTGCAAGGCATTGATCTCTCCAGCTGGGCTCACCAGTAGGATGGATGGATTTCCTCATATGGTGGCCCAGGCCTTCAAGAACAAGCATCCCTTCCAAAAGGATAAAACTTCGCTTGTGTCATTCTTGCCAATTTTCACAGGTCAAGGCAAGTCATGTGGCTAGGCCTAGAGCCAAAGTGGAAGGAATCTACACAAGGTCGTCAATATCAGAAGGCATCAGGTTGTTGGAAGCCACCCACTATGAAGATTACAAGGGCATACTTCATTCCCTTCCATGAATATAGAAACTATATTGTCATAAGGCAAGGAGCAGAAACCTCTTTTTTAAACTTCTCTATTCTGTGGAGGAAATGGATATTCATCATTAGTCCAGTCAAAGATGCAATGTCCCATCAGAGGTCCCATCAGTGGAACATCAGAGGAACACTGTGGGGTATGGCCACACGGCTGTCCTGCAGCAGAGTCTGCTGAAGGCTCTGCAGCTAATGGCATTTGCAATTTCCGTTACAACCTGCCTCTCACAATATAAATTGTCCCAGATGTGCACTGTGGAGTATGGAGTTTTATTTTTATTTGGTCTTATTTTTTTTTAAACATAGGCTGAACTTTAAGATGTTTAACTTGGGTTTTTCCCCCTTAGGTTTTATTTGGAGAGCTTCACATGTTTAAAGCTGTGGTCGGAAGCTGTATTTCATTGTCTTTTTCAGACACCCAAAGCATATGTTTTACTTTTGGCATTCGGCTGGGAAGGAAAAAAAAGAGTATTTTAGAGGGGAGGCCATTTGTCGCCTACCTAGCGGTCTCCCATAAGGCTGCAGTGTGCTGTTCAACTCTGCTTTCCCAGGGACCTGGATAATCTGTCTGCTTCTGACCAGTTGTGTGCATTCCATTTCTTCTTTTGGAAAATACAACAGCTTTAAAATTGGTATCTTTTTCCTATAAAGCTTATGGACCTTGGGGCCCCTGGATGGCTCATTTGGTTAAGCGTCTGACTCGTGGTTTTGGCTGTCATGATCTATCGGGTTGTGAGACTGAGCACCAAGTTGGGCTCCGAGCTCACTGGTTCAGATTCTCTCCTTCTGCCCCTTCCTCCACTAACCCCCCTCCACATACTCTTTCTCTCTCTCTCTCAAATAAATAAATATATCTTTAAAGCTTATGGACCTCATTTTATTTCTTTCCTTTTCTCTTTCTAATGTGAAACCAGCTCAGATATATTCAAGTTTCTAAACCTCAGGGTTAAGATTTGTCAAGATCAATAGTCTTAACATCGTATACATTTTTCTTGAGGGGGTATGAGGGTATTTATTTATTTTTATTTCTGTTTCCCTCCAAGGGACATGGCACGGTTTTCTTAATTCAGCTCTGCTTCTTTCTACATGTGGATGCTGTTTTTAGTATTTTATTATCTCTCTTTTTTTTAAAAGAGATTTTATTTTTAAGTAGTCTCTACACCCAACATAGGGCCCAAACTCACAACCTTGAGATCAAGAGTCTCATGCTCTACCGACTAAGCCAGCCAGGCGCCCCTCTCTCCTCTCATTTTAAATATCTGAGTTCTGCTCTTTAATCTTGTTTGGCATTTTTGGAGAAATTTATTCTATTAATGTGTCTACACCATTTTAGCTGTTCCTCTAACTCTGGTTTCATGGATCATAAAGAAGAAACAATTGAGAGTGTGGCATTCTTGGTGACTCTCACTGGTAGTTTCAAAGTCAGATGATGGCTCCAGACTATTTGCAAACAGTGAGTCAAATTTCTATCCCAGTCTAGAAAATCAAAATTGGGTATCAAGTTCCCTTTTGGGGATGCTGAAGCTTGGAGATGCCATTAAAATACCTATAGGTTTTGGTATTTCTGGGTCTGCAGAATGAATTTCCCGTGTTCACTGAGGACGGCCTAGACAACCTGTATACTCTCGTTGACCACAGGGCAGTTGTTGGCTTCTGGCTCAGTGCAGTTGAGAACCATTTGGAGGGTAAAAGATCACATGATGCTGAGATCATTTAGGGCCCTTGCCACTTTACTTGAGCAAAGCCACTGACGGTGTTCCGACTGCATGGAAGTGGGATATGGTCTCTCCTGGGCCCGAAAGGAATTTGAGACATCAAGTTCTGTCTCATTTATTAAATTAAATTTTCAGCTAAATGAGACCCTTTCCTGGCTCAGAGCAATTTCCATGGACTGTTTCTAAGTTTGGTAGGGTTTAACCACCCATTTGGACGTCTAAGCCAAATTCTATCCATCAGAGTTGATTAAACCTCTGTCTTGGTCTCTGTTAGGGGCTGTGGGAGGCCTGGCCAGGCTCATTTTTTTTATGGAAAAATTTGCACCAGCCCTTCAGTGGTTTGTGTTCCCATTCTACGGTAGAGTTGCTGCTTTCTCAGCTCATATAAATCTAGATGGGGCCATCAGACCAACCAACTGAGCTCTGGTCAATAGAAGGTGGGCAGAAATGATGAAACCACTTCCAGGACTTATCCCCAAACTTTCCTGAGTGATCCTATATGTGCATTCTCTCCTTGGGGATGCCATCTTATGTCAACTCCCAGGGCCAAGGCATGGGGGCCACAGGTGGAAGGTGGTGGAGCCTCCGTCCCTGTGTTCACATGGCTATGTACACTATGTTCTGACTCCTCTGTTTCCCACCATCAGGCTTTGTGTGAGAAAAAAGAAATAACTCAATATTTTGCTAAGCCTCTGAGAATTTGTAGTGTACTAGGTTTGATAGACAGCATTAGCTGAACCAATACTCAGGAGATTTCTTATCCTTAATGGGCTGTTGGTCATTACCTCCCCCTTGAGCATCACCCCATGAGGAAGGGTCAGGAGACAACAAGAAGGTACATTCAGTGAGGCCTTCCCTTTGTCTAAGCAGTTCTTTCCTTTACAAACTTGTTAAAGCTCGTGAGTAGAAATGATTGACACCCTTGAGTTTCATTTCTGCCTTCCCCTGAACCAGGGCCTGGTTCTTTCCAACCTGGGCCTAAGACAAAATTGCTTTTTGATGACTGCTTGCCCTTCTCTATGTAAGTGACAAGCATTTATTAATTCCTTGTTATCTATCTAGCCCTGGGCCAGGACTGAGAGAGACAGCAAGGAATACAGTTTCTCTTTCCAAAGGTTTTGTAAATTAAATCGAGAAGCAAAAGATCCATACAGAAATCAACCCCAGGATAATGTGATGTCACATGTAAGCAGGTTCTACAGGAATTCAGCGAAGGGAAAGATTCCTGTGGACTGGGCTTGGTTGGAGAAGCTACTAGTAGATACAAGGATGCTACTTAGCCTTGGAGGGAGTCTGAGCACCAGAATATGAGTAAGAATGGGTCCTGATGTGAAGTCTCATATACCCTGCTTAGCACAGAAAGAACCCATCACCTTCTCTGGGGAGCAGGGGAGTTAGGTTTGGCCCAGCAATGAGGATGGTGTAACTGGAGAGGTTGGGAGGGATGGGGAAAGTGACTGAGGTTGACATTGTGTCACACAGGGCTCCTTTGGGAGGAGGAATTCTAGGATGGGGACAAAGAGCCTATGGGTTGGTTTTTCTTGTTCTAGGCTCTGGGGGAGACATAACTTCTCTGGAGGCCCTGTTCATAACATATACTCCCCACAACCCGTGGTGTGCTGAAGCCAACTTGAATTGGCTTAAGAGAGCCAACTGACAAATTTGCAGGAATTTTTCCAGCCAGGTGTTAAATACATATATTAGTATTTAAATTAAACTAAAGTCTTTTTTTTTTTTTTAAAGATTTTATTTATTTATGTATTCATCAGAGAGAGTGAGATAGAGGGCGTGCCCAAGCAGGGGGAGTGGCAGGCAGAGGGAGAGGGAGAAGCAGCCTCCCCGCTAAGCAAGGAGCCTGATGTGGGGCTCGATCCCAGGACTCTGGGATCATGACCTGAGCCAAAGGCAGACACTCTACCGACTGAGCCCCCCAGGCCTCCCTAAACTAGGTAAGTCTTATATGAATTACAATTAAGCAAATTATATTAAAACAAAAATAATCAATACTCAAAACTCATCACTTTCCTGGTATTTGGTACGTTTTTCTATTATTTATATTTCTATTTCTAACTCTAGAGGTTATTGACAATTATTGTAGCTATATGGTGGTCTTATGGGTTGAATGGTGTCCTCCCCCCACCCCAAACTCATATGTTGAAGTTCAAATCGCCCATCTCAGAATGTGACCTTCTATAGAAATGGGGCCGTTGGAGATGTAATTAGTTAAGATGAGGTCATTAGGGTGGGCCCCTCATCCAATATGCCTGGTGTCCTTATCCAAAGGGGAAATTTGGACACAGGCATGAATGCAGGAAGAATACCTTGTGAACATGAAGACGGAGATCGGGCTGTGCTGTGGAAGCCAAGGAACGCAGGGACTGCCAGCAAACCCCTGGAAGTGAGTACAGAGGCAGGGCACAGAGTCTCCTGCACCTTGATCTGGGACTTTAGCCTCCAGCCCTGCGAGAAAGAAATGTCCATTGTTGATGCACCAGCGAGCCGTATTTTGACGGCAGCCCCAGCAAAGGGGAATGGAAGTGTGTGCTGCTGCATATCCTGTCCTCCAAGCTCAGTCTCTAACTACAGGTGGAGAGCTTGAAATCAGCCACGGTGGGCTGACGTTCAAAGAAATACCACCAATCAGGGCTTGATTCATTGTTTCTTTCTTTTAGAGATTTTTATTTATTTATTTGAGAGAGAGAGAATGAGAGAGAGAGCATGAGAGTGGGGAGGGTCAGAGGGAGAAGCAGACTCCCTGCCGAGCCGGGAGCCGGATGCGGGACTTGATCCATGAGACAGAGAGAATGAGCGAGAGAGAGCACATGAGAGGGGGGAGGGTCAGAGGGAGAAGCAGACTCCCCGCCGAGCAGGGAGCCCGATGCGGGACTCGATCCCGGGACTCCAGGATCATGACTGGAGCCGAAGGCAGACGCTTAACGAACTGAGCCACCCAGGTGCCCTTGATTCATCGTTTCATTGATGGTCTACACAAGGGGCTGGCAAGTTTTTGTACGTGTGTTGCTGGAGAACAGCTGTGCCCATCCATTTACAGGTTGCCCATGGTTGCTTTCAGAGTCAGCATTCCTGACAGAGACCGTACTGCTCCCAGAGCTGAACATATTTATTATCTGGCCCTTCAGAGCAGAAGCTTGTTGACCCTTAAGCCTAGACCGGAGAAAAAGTGATGGAGGGGTGCCTGACTGGCTCAGTAGGGGGAGCATGCGACTGGTGATCTCGGGGTCGTGAGTTTGAGCCCCACCTTGGGGGTAGAGATCATTTAAAAAAAGAAAGTGATGGAGATGATGTTAAAAATACAGACTGAAGTGTACTTGTGTGTGGCTGTTACATTGTGATGGCACAAAAAATTTGAGAAAATATTCTAGTATTTGAAACCTATGATCTGATTCTGCAAAGAAGTGCCTCTTACCCTGGACCAACAAGCGAAGGTCTGACGTAGATATTTGTCATTTTGTTTTCCTCTTACTTGTTTATGTAAATAAAAATATCAGCCCACATTCATGTCAAAACTACATTTTTTTTTTCTTGAAGATTTTATTTATTTATTTGACAGAGAGAGAGAGCACAAGCAGGGGAAGCAGCAGAGGGAGAAGCAGACTCCCAGCTGAGCAGGGAGCCCAACACGGGGTTCAATCCCAGGACCCCAGAATCATGACCTGAGCCAAAGGCAGATGCTTAACCAACTGAGCCACCCAGACGTCCCAAAACTACGTTGTTTGTCAGCTGCCACTGTAGGTTCGTTAAGGTACGAGTGTCACAAATCAGTGGAAGCATCTGTGAGAGTCAATTGGCTACGTGAATGTCTTTGTATATCCGTAAAGTTTATAATAAACCTAAATAGGGATGTATATGCACACATTTTCTCCCTTGGAGAGCCATCTGTTGAACACTGACCAGCACAACACTTCCCCCGAGCTCCGCGTGATGCCCACAGCTGAGCAGAGGCCACCCAGTTCAGGGATCTGTTGCAATGCCTTTGGCCTTGGCTTGGTTTCCCCGCTGTGTCGATCTGGCTTGTCCACGAGCACACTGTCAGTGAGCAATTGCAGTAAAAAAGCTTGGTGGCACCCAGAAGCCAGGCCTGGCTGAATTCTACTCTGGGTGAGTGCCAGGTGTTCATGGGTGAAGTGGGCTTGCTGGCAGAGGGTGTGAATATGGACTTGGATTCCCACCAGTGGTAGAAGTCCTTAGGCAAGGGATGCACAGGGCAAAAGGGTTGGTTTAAGAAGCTGGATTTGGCACCAAAGTGAGGGACGTACAGGGTGGGAAGACCAGCCCTGCAGGCTGTTGCAGTCTGGACCTTGATGGCTCTGCGGAGTCCTGTTTCCTGGCACTTGTAGGGAAGACTTGCAAAATGTTAAGAAAAGGGACCCTTGAGTGATTGAGGAAGTCTCAGTGGACCCCCCCCCCCCCCCAGAGCTTGCAAAACAGAGAAATGGAAAGGCACTTCTGAGAAGCTTTGCCAAATGGCTGTGCTGTGGCTTTTGACCATTCCTCTCTCCCTTTCTGGATCGTTAGCAGAAATGAAGAATGGTAACCTTTCTCAGTAATGCACAGACATGCATGGGGGGGCCTCTCTTCTTGGGACTGGGCCTTTGCAGGGGTTGGGATGGTGTTGCGCTCCATGGGGAATTTCAGCGGGGGAGCTTCCACAGCGCTTTGGGTTCACCTTTTGCAGAGCATTGCAACCCCTGCCCAGCCTCCCCTGGCCTTCGAGGGCAGACACTGGGGCCTCTCTCCACAGGGCAGCAAGGGCTCCAGAGCTGCCCGTGACTTTTTGAACTTCTCACCCCTCAGCAAGGTGTGACTTCAACCAGCATCTTCTCTGATCTCCCCCACCTGCCGCCCCCACCCCCGGAGCATCTCCCCATAGCTGCTGTCAGTCACCACTTCCTTCCTTCTGAGCCAGGTTTGATTTTAAGCAAAAAGGATGTAAGGAACTCTAAGTCCGAGCTGAGATAAATTATGGAAAATTGCAAGAGGGAAGGAGAAAAATGTGTGTATCTGCGATCTGATGGGTGTTCATTCCTGGAAAAGCACCTTCTCTTCTCCTTTCTTGTTTTCCACACTGAATGCTTTTGTGTGAAACTTTTGCACGTGGGCTGCTTTTTGACCCAGGGGACAAAGCCCCTTCCTTCTCCAAGGCTCAGCTCAAATGCCACTTCCTCAATGTAGGTTTCAGTTGACCCACCGACGAAAGGGTCACAGGGGTTTCTGGAAGCCATCCAGCCTGGGGTGTGAGCCCCTCCAGGTGAGGGGACTGCAGAGGCTGCTGATTCACTCCGGCACTTCCAGGCTCTCCCTCTGGGTGGAGAGCTGGGGACAAATAGGGAGTCCCTCGGGGTTTGTACCTGGCTGTGTCAATGACAGAGACACCAGGCAGCTACCCCAAACAGAACCCACACAGCTACTCGGGCTGCTCTAGATGCATTCGGTCTCCTTCACAGAGGCCTGGTGAATGAAGTCTCTCGCTTCCCCTCCCTCCGGCTCCGGGGATAGCGTGGGCGGGTGCGTGGGTGGGGGGTTACCATGCTGGCTTCCCCCCACACCAGGTCACACCCTGCATGGGGACAGTGACAGAGCTTTCGATTGGCCTGGTTTTTGGTTTTTATTTATTTATTTTTAGTTAATCTTCCCCTTTTCAAGAAGCTGGGTGTGGTCCCAAGGGAGCTGGCCTGGTAAAGTCTACCTTCCATTCTGTGTGTGGCCCTGTTCTCTGGGGGTCTTCACACCAGGGAGGAGTGGTCGGTGTCCACACGGACAGTGTGTGCCCTCCCTGGGAAGCTTCTCCGTTGCTCTTGCAAACCAAGCAACAGTTCTGTCCGTTTGCAGGCAGGACTCCGCTTGGGTCTGCCCGATGGAAGAGAGTGCCGCCCTTGGAGAAGTTCACTTCCTCTGCGCAGCCCGAAGCACGTCCATCCGTCTGTCTTCTGAACTTCTACGACCACCTTTATCATCTTTGCTTCTGTTCTGGTCCTGTACACATGTGTATTATCGGAAAGACTAGGATGACTTGTCCTCGAGGGCAGGACACACGCCTGATCTATCTTTACATCTTTCGCATTGATGGTGTTTGCAAATCCGTACTCAACGGGAGACTGAGAAGTTAGTATGCTTTTAAACCGTATGCATCTTATTAAGCCGGTCTCATTTAGATCTAGAATTGATATTTTTGTGCCACCTTTGTCCTGTCCCAGCTACTACCGACTCTGAAATCTTTTCGAGCAATGGCGGTGGGCAGATATTCGCTCTACCACATAGATCCCAGGAAAAACATTACCAGGCCCTTTTTAAAAACCCCAAACCAAATAGTTTGCTATCTGGAAATGCAGAATTTTTCTCAAATGCTAAGACTAGAAAAGCAAGCTGGAATGGCAAACACTTGTTTTAAAATTCTTCAAACACTGTAATTAATATTTCTTATTTTTCTTGCTTTGGACACAATTCTCTGCAGAGCTTGGAAAGCGCTCCCTCTGATTCTGGCCATGGGCACAGGCTACTGAGGCCCACAGTGTGTTGGAAGAATCACCGTGCCTGGACCCGGGAGTACTTCTGTCCCTGCTGGTGAATAGCAGGGGGAGTCGAGGGGTACAGAAATGTGTGCCTCCTTTAGAGAGCAGTTAGAAAAAAATCAATGCCTTTGAGGGGAAGAAGTGTGGGGCGGTGGAAACAATACGTATCATTAATGCAAACATCTCTGTTCCCTGCCCCCCAGGCCAGCTCCCATTCAGGACCAGCACGGGGAGCGGGTTTAAATTTGCTTTCACTGGTCAGGCCCAGCTCCAGCGTGACTGGAGCTCATGGGGCCGGAGGTGCGGCAGCTGGAACTTGATGGGATCACCCTGTGTTGTAACCCCCCACCCCCGAGCAAACTGGGGAGCAGTGTGTGTATCCACGGCTGGGGACACTAAGATCGTCCTGCTCTCTATCAGCTGCAAAGCTTTTCTATCAGGTTATGGCTTGTGTGTTGTCTTAGTGACTCCTTCGTGGGGGGCAGTTGAGGTGTCTCTGGGCTGTCTGCGTTTCTCCCTCCCTCCCACCAGACTTTGCTTCCCTGGGGGAGGGGTGCAGAGATAGCCGATTGAATTGGTGGCTCTGTTTGCTACCAGTGGCCTCTCTAGAGCAGGTGCCTCTTCTCTAAGTACCTTTCTCAGTGCCTCTCGGCCCTTGTTTGCAATAAATCTCTAGGTGCCTCCTCCTGGCCCAAGTGACTCTCTCCAAAATCTCGGATCCTGGGGGTAAAGTTGGTGTGGGTACATGCGCGAGTGTGTGTTGCGTAGACTTCTGGTCTCCAAAACCGTTCATTAACCTGCCTTCCCCCCGCCCCTTGAAAAGAAAAAAAATTTTTTTTTTTCCCTCTCTGAATTTGCTGGCTATTCTTGGCCAAGCACCCCATTTTATTAAGTTTCATTGTATCTCTGTCTTGTAAGAAATGCAGACATAGAGGTAATTTGCTGACCGTCACTAAAGAGACCAGGTACTTCCTGGGCCCAGCGTCATCCTGGGACTCACAGTGTCCACTGGAGGAATGTTGATTCCTGTTCTTATGCTGGAGTTTTGTAATGACGCTGTTTTAGGGTCAGGGGACGTGGTTCCACGGTCGTATTACAGTGAGATCCCTCTTGGGGTTTCAGCCACGCTAGACCCACACCTCCCACATGCGTGTGCTCTGTTTGGAGAGCGTACAGAGGAACTTCGCCCCAGAAGCTTCCAGAGCAGTGAGGGAGAAAGTTATGTAAACTGGGGATTGTAATGTAATGTGATAAGTTTGGGTGTGTGACTATTTGTAAAACGAATGTTTCCAGGCCCCGCCAGCCTGTGGATACAAGTGAGGTCAGGTTCACCGTCAGAACTCGGATTTCACAGGCCTATGTCCCTCCCCTGGAACGCAGATCTGGCCGGTTACTTCTGTGAGCCCCTGGGGTCTCTCTCATGTTCTCTGGCTTGGCCCCCGTGATTTTTTGTCCCCTGAGCTGTTTCTGGACCTTGCCTTTCTGCTGTCAAAGGTTGCCTACCAATGCTGCCAGGCTCCAGCTGACAGGTGCCTCATTCCTCACGGACTTCCCTGAGCTGAGCCACCCTGGGCTCTGGGCTCAGAGGACAGACGGCCACTCTCTATTTTGGGTCCCGTTTTGTCACCTGGGCATGAAGGAGCTTGGCTTCTGCTTCTGTGTCTCCCACCATCTTTTGAGAAGAGAACTTTGGCTACTGCTGTCTGCAGCATCCGTTTCTGCAGAACAGGGTCATAAGGCCATGGGGCCAGGTCCAGAGACCAAAATCCCTGACCCGCAGAGTAAGTGCCTCCTCGCTGACATGGCCTTGCACCACAGCAACGCGACAAGTCTCATCCCCGTTTCCCTCCATGCATCACCTCTTTAAACCGATGGCTCCTGGGGTCTACCTCCGATAGTTCTCGCACATGCCCAGGCTCAAGGCCTCTTAAGGATGTTCTATTCCTCCTGCCCTCCCCATTTCATTTCGGGCCCTCATGACCTCACCCTGACTGCAGCCATAATTTCCTAATTGGCTTCGCTGCCTCTGGTCTCCACTCCCCTCCATCCTGTCGCCAGAGTTACTTCAATCAATGGCCATCCTTGGATGGGGTCCAGTTGGAATCTGCCTTCTACAGAATTCCTCTTGCTAGTTAGAGCAAGGCTTCGGGATCTCATGAGAAGCACACCGCTAGTATTGACCTGTTAAATATTTTTGCATATGTGGTTTGTTTTACCTTACCCATTTTCAATCAGAATTGGACACCGTTCCTCATTCGAGACTGTCCCAACCCATCAGAACCAAGGGCAAATGGCCATTGAGAATCAACATCTTTATTCGCTCATCCTGGATAGCCATGAAATTTGAGAGGATGACAACTCTTATGGAGAAATTGATCCTTACCAAATTTCAGAAAGGAAGAGTGGATTGAGGCCAACCATAACTTGATTTGCCATGGACTTTAAGGCCCGTGTCTGACATGGATTTATTTTCTGGAGAGTGCTATCCTGCCCTGGTGCATCATGGAAACCACTGGCAAACAGCAGTGAGGTACAAGAACTCGGGGTACTTTTTTTTTTTTTTAAGATTTTATTTATTCATTTGAGAGGAAGAGAGAGAGAGAGACAGGGAGGGAATATGCACAAGCAAGGGGAGCAGCAGAAGGAGAGGGAGAAGCGGACTCCCTGCTGAGCAGGGAGCCTGATGCGGGGCTCGATCCCAGGACCCTGAGATCATGACCTGAGCCGAAGGCAGACGCTTCACCGACTGAACCACCCAGGTGCCCCAAGAACTCAGGGTATTAATTAGGCAGCATTGGGTGAGTTAGGCAGTGATATAAGAAATCAGGAAATGGAAGTTTCCTGAAAGACCTGTCTTTTTAGCACTGACTGGTGCAAAAAACCTACATTTAAAAAAATGTTTAGGCCAGAAAAAGCCATAAGCACTGCATATGCATGAAGTTATCACTTAGGAAAATTTTATTACAGTGAATACAAGTTAGATTTTTCTCATTGTCATTTGGAAATGAAGCCTGAACCTCAGGAAGTTCTTTTCTTATTGTAAGTTCCACCAGATCTGGAGACTCAGATATGAGGACGCAGGTATGGGAGATATTGGAGGCCCAGGTCTAGAGGGGATTTTGCCTGCAAGAGCTAGAAAATATTTCTCCAGAGCCCATCGCCCCCAAACCAAGAGGACATGGATTTGGGGAGGAAAATGTGTTCTTCAACTCTCTTAGGGGCCCTAGATAGGTCTGAAAATTAAACTTACAAGGAGAAGCTGATAGAAGAAAAGCATACAAATTTATTTAATATGGCTTTATGTGATACAGGAGCTTTCGTAAGGAAACACAGACTCATAGAGATGGTTAAACGTGAGTGTTTTTATGCTGAGTGCAACGAAGAGGGACAGTTGTGGAGAAGTGTGATAGGAAAGGGTGTGAGGTAAGTGTAGTGAACTGAGGGAAACTTAGTGAGGCCTGTGTGTTTGGTTCTTCTCAGTGTCCCCCTGTCTTGGAGAGAAGGATGCTCCTTCCCTGTAGGTCTGGGGAAGGCGCCTCTCACACCATAGTTTTGTCACAGGCTTCAGGGGAACAGGGCGGGAAGGTCACTCTTGGGTGGCTTTCTTGTGTCTGCCATGTTCTCAAGCTCCTTCAGCTTAAGATACTCAGTATGCTGAGGTGCCATACTTAGGGGGTCGTGTATTTTGAACCCAGTCACTGAGAGAAGCCAGGATCTCGGTGAAGGAGGCAACCACCTCCATCCTCTTTATCAAACAAAGAAAATGGCATCATTTTATCCTTACGGGACTTCACTGTGAGGTCAAGACTGAGTGTAGAAGGAGACCCAGGAAGGCCAGATTAGACAAGGAAATCTCCACAAGGGAAGAGGAAATTGCCCTTAGTCTCTGAAGGAGGGGTAGGATTTAGCACATTCTCAGAGGGGAGAATGGAGCGGGGGTAGAAAGGAAGAAGCTGTCTTCTGAGACAGAGAGACCATGGAAGAAGGTACATGCTGGGGAATAGGAACCTACATTTCTAGGCAGGGTAGGACTTTACTCTGGACGGCCATGAATGCCAGGCTTTGATTGAGCCCTGCAGGAAACCAGAAGCCATGGAAGCAATAAGGAGACAGATTTGGAGAGGAAAAGCCTGGGTTTGGGGGAGTTGCAATTTGAGATGTGAGGGGTAGGCCAAGATGAATGTGGCCACATTGGGAAAGGCTATGGGTGAGGGACAATTTACAGAGAAACAGTGTTGAGACTTTGGTCTGACTGTATGAGTCAGGAAAGAGAGCCATTCAAGATGCAAGCAGGTTGGGGCTAGTGGAGACCATGGTGCCGTAGACGTGAGGAGGAGATGGTCTGAAGGGAGGCTTGTGGGTTTTGCCCTGGCCGGCTGAGTTTAAGAAATGATGAGAAACCCAAGTGGGCCTCAACGGTGGGGTTGCTTCCTGAACCCTCAGGGGCAGAGACCAGCTCAGAGGTGATGGAATCTGTGAGCAAAGAAAGATGTTCCCTTAGAGTGTTCAGAAAGAAGAGCAGAAGTTTGAGACCAGGGCCTGGGACTGGAAGTTAAGAGGAACGTATGAAGGAAACGAAGTGTTTCTGGTCGA